ACTACCGTGCGACTCTCAATGGAGAATCCCACACCCCGATTTGGCCAACGTCGGCCAGAAAAAAAAAAAGCCGGGTACGCGGTTCTTAGCTTCATGCTCAACCAGAAAAAGCTCATTCCACCACAAGTCAGAATTGGAATAAATCCGCCCGGCAATTAGCTGACGGAGACATACTCAACCCAACATCAGTTGGGGTTGAAGAAAGGTCGGTTCGACAAAACTCACCCTTCCTGGAATGCCTTCGCGTTCGTGGAGCTGTACCAGCCGTTGGAAAGCCTCCCCCACGCCCTCGCTTTCCTCGTGCACTTGCACACGACGCTCTGGAGCGTGCCGATCTCTACCACCGGGAGGGTAGCGATGTCGTTCGCCGCGTGCAGCAGCGCCGGCGTGACCACATGGCATGTAACATGACGCGAGCAGGCAGGGGGTATAGGTCGTCGGCGCAACAACGTTGTCATTTTTGCGGCGTGGTGACTGACGGAGTCAAGTTGTCCTACCGAACGGTGCGGTGCTACTGACGAGTGCATGCATCTGGAAACATGTAACCTTGCAGTGCGTGTACCGTGCTGCTGCTTCCTACGGATACTACCTGCGATGCAATCGGAGCTTTCGTACATGCTCGTACATGCTGAGGAGTTCAGTTAGCTGCTGCCCGCTGGAGCTTTCTCGTACAACGTGAGTGGGGTGGCACACCGTAGTTCCTTAAGGATGCCCCGGCACAAGCGCCGAAGATTGAGACGGCAGACCACACGTGAACAATGAGTCACCTGCGCGAGGAAGTCCTCTTGAAGCCGGTCCTCGCCGACCAGTTGCCCCTCGGACAGGTCCTCGCGTGTCAACTGCATGTGGGTCTTGGTGTAGCGCCACATGACGCGGTGAAGTAAGGTATTACTTGCCTGCAACATTGGAGCAGAACCGGGCGAAGAGGTTTCAATAAATCATACGAAAGTATCTGATCGTAGTGGTTAATGGAAACGTTGTGCAATCGATAAGGTGAGTTGTAGACAAGAATCCGCGTACGTTATGTTTTAAATCATTGTCACATGGCCTTTCCTTATGATGTGAGAGTGGCACAAAAAATCAGGGTTGTACACGGAGTAGAACCGCTCCGCGGAGCGTTTTTTTTTTCTTTGAAGTTCCACGGAGCGGAGCGGAGCGGTTTATCCGTAGTGCGGTTTTTTGTACGGAGCGGTTCCTTTACTCCGTAGCAAAAACTGCGCGAAACCGTGGCTTGAGCACGGTTTTCCGTCGGAAAAAAACGTCGAAACCGCACGGATATCCGTACACAATCGACGGAGCACCTGCAATTTCGTGAAAACCGTTGGGTTTCGTGCACCGAAGACCGATTGTTCCGTACTGTGTGCTGTGGTTGGAGGCCGCGGGTGACACTGTATGCGTCCTCGCGACTAGGACAGCCCAAAAAGACAAAAAAAGCTGTCAATCATTCACTTAATTTATTATTTAGAGAGGAACCATTCACATCGATACCTCCTCGACTCGTTCATACGTTCCTGCAACACGTACAACAGCACATGA